CTTTGTTCTGTTGCTGGTGATGAGCTGTGTTCCTTTGGAGGGGGAGATGCACTCTGATTTTTTGAATTTCCAGCTTTTCTGCACTGCTTTTTCCCCATCTTTGTGGTTTTATCTGCCTTTGGTCTTTAATGATGGTGATGTACTGCTGCTGTTTTGGTGTGGGTGTCCTTTCTGTTTGTTAGTTTTCCTTCTAACAGTCAAGACCCTCAGCTGAAGGTCTGTTGGAGTTTGCTTGAGGTCCACTCCAGACCCTGTTTGCCTGGGTATCAGCAGCAGAGGCTGCAGAAGATAGAATATTGCCGAACAGTAAGTGTTGCTGTCTGATTCTTGCTCTGGAAGCTTCGTCTCAGGGGTGTACCCAGCTGTGTGAGGTGTGAGGTGTCGGTTTGCACCTAGTGGTGGATGTCTCCCAGTTAGGCTATTCAGGGGTCAGGGACCCACGTGTGCAGGCAATTTGTCCGTTCTCAGATCTCACTCAACCTCCGTGCTGGGAGAACCACTGCTCTCTTCAAAGCTGTCAGACAGGGACTTTTACATCTACAGAGGTTTCTGCTGCTTTTTGTTTAGCTATGCCCTGTCCCCAGATGTGGAGTCCACAGAGGCAGGCAGGCCTCCTTGAGCTGCCATGGGCTCCACCCAATTCAAGATTCCTGGCGACTTTGTTTACCTACTTAAACCTCAGCAATGGTGGGCGCCCCTCCCTCAGCCTCGCTGCCGCCTTGCAGTTAGATCTCAGACTGCTGTGCTAGCAATGAGGGAGGCTCCGTTGGCATGGGACCCTCCGGGCCAGTTGTGGGATATAATCTCCTGGTGTGCCATTTGCTAAGACCCTTGGTAAAGCGCAGTATTAGAGTGGGAGTTACCCAATTTTCCAGGTGTTGTGTGTCTCAATTTCCTTTGGCTATTAAAAGGAATTCCCTTCTCCCTTGTGCTTCCCAAGTGAGGTGATGCCTTGCCCTCCTTCAGTTCTCGCTGGTTGGGCTACACCCGCAGACCAGTACCAACTGTCTGACATGCCCCAGTGAGATGAACCTGGTACCTCAGTTGAAAATACAGAAATCACCCATCTTCTGTGTCATTCATGCTGGGAGCTGGAGGCTGTAGCTGTTTCTATTCAGCCATCTTGGGCACACCTGGCTTTTCCTATTTCTTACTGCCGTATGTTTATTTCTACAAATCTGAAGTAAGGGCTTATTCCAGTACTTGCAGACTGGCTTTAGCAGGTAAAACCCTTCAGCAGTCAGCCTATCCAGGGATTCTGAGCAGGCCCTCTGGCAACATTTGAGGATGAGCTTGCTTCCAGAGTCCTCAGGCATGTAGGTCTTGTACCTGGGTCAGCAGGCAGCTGAGTATGGTGTCAACATCTGTGGTATCGGACCTGACACCTGGATCCAATGGAGTAGACTTCAACAAGGGTGAGGTTTGCAGGGATGAATCTGAAGACTGGGTACATGAGGGAAGGCCTAGAGCCTGTATCTATGATGGCCAACCTCAAGCCTAAGTCCACAAGGGCTGACCTGGAGCTGGGTTGAGATTTGACCCTCAGTCTGCAGGAGCTGGCCAGGCACTTTGGCATCTGGTTCTACTAGGATGAGTCTGAAGTCTGAGTCCACAGGAACTGGACTGACACTGGGCCAGCCAGGAACCTAAGGATGCAGGAGTGGCTCTGGATCTTGGATCCACAAAAGCTGACCTGGATTCTGAGTCTACAGGGGTGTTCTTGGAACTTCAGTCCAAGGGGCATGGAGTATACAGGAATAGGCCTGAACACTGGGTCTCCTGAAACAGGCCTGGACTCTGAGTTCTCTGAAGTGTAAGTCCACAGGGACCAACCTGGAGCCTGACGGTGGTCTACTGCTAAGTCTAGTGTGGCGCCTGGGTCTGTAGGGGCTAGTCTGGAGCCTGGGGGCCCACTGGGCTGGCTTGAAGCCTGGGAATATGGGGACAAGCTTAGAGTCTTGTCCATTGATGTCAGCCTTGAGGCTGAGTATACAGTTGCTGGCCTAGATTCTAGGATAGCAAAGTCTGGTCTAGATCCTGGGGCCTTGGATACTGGTCTTGTATATGGGTACACAGGGACAACTCTGGAGTCTAAGTCTATGAGAACCTGCCGAGCACTGAGGTCTATTTGGGAGGGCCTAGACCCTGGGTTAGCTGAAAGGTGGGACCATGAGACCATTCTGGCACTGGGAAGGCATTGAGCATATCTTCATGGCTCCCCACCTGGTGTTTGAGGCCAGTGTTAACCTGGCACTGGGACAGGCCTGAGGTCTGGTACTGGTACCAGTTTGAAGCCTGGGGCCACTGGAGCCAACCTGCTGCTGGGGCAGTTTTGGAGTCCAAGTCTATTGTGCAAGCCTAGAGCCTGGGTCTGCAGGATTCTTCCTGGTGCCAAGATGGGCCTGGAAGTTCAGTCCACATGTACCAGCCTGTAACCTGGGGTTATGGCGGCCTCTCTGGTGCAAGGTTTTACTGGAATGGGCCGAGTTTGGGGGTTAGAGGCAATCCAGTACTAAGTTTTTTCTTTTTCCCCTCATAGCTGGGTATCTTTCTCCATGCTGTGCTACCTAGAGTTGGGGGAGGGGTGATGTGGGTAATGTAAAACTGTCCTTTTCCCATTCTTTTTCTTTCCCCTTTGGAAACGGAGTCTTGCTCTGTCGCTCAGGCTGGAGTGCAGTGGGGCAATCTTGGCTCACTGCAAACTCCGCCTCCCAGATTCAAGCAAATTTCCTGCCTCAGCCTCCCGAGTAGCTGGGACTACAAGCACCTGCTACCACACCCGGCTAATTTTTGTATTTTTAGTAGAAACAGGGTTTCACCATGTTGGCCAGGCTGATCTCAAACTCCTGACTTCAAATGATCCACCCTTTCTCTTCTCTTAAATGCATCTTTCTTTATTTGCTACACCCAGGTGCTGTAATCTCTCACCTGGTTTCTTTAGGTCTTGTAAAGGTAATTTTGTGCATGAATAGTTGTTGTTCAAATGGATACTTCTGCAAAGTTATGAGTTCTGAAGAGTTCCATTTTGCCATCTTGCTGCATAGGAATTTAATAAGTTGGGAGAGGCTGACTTGGGAGGTGCTAGCCAGACACCTATTGTTTTAAACAACTTGAGATATGCACATATAGTACAATCCATGATTTAAAGTGTACAATTCAATGGTTTTGGATATTTATAGATATGCATAGATATGTGTAAATATCACTACAGTCAATTCTTATACATTTTCACTAACCCTGAATAAAATCACACAGTCCTTAGACATCAATTCTCAATCATAACTTAAGGGAAACTCCATTCTTAAGCAAATAACAATTTTTCTGAACCTATAGACTTGCCTCTTGTGGAAATTTTATGTATATGAAATTATATCATATATGCTACTGTATGACTGGCTTTTTTCACATAGCATAATACTTTTGCTTTTCCCGGACCACCAGGCAAGAATTTTTTTCCTTTTTTTTTTTTTTTTTTTTTGGCATAATGCTTTCAAGGTCTATTCTGGCAGTATCTATACTTATTTCCTGTATATGACCAAATTAATATTCCATTGTGTGAATGTACATTTTGTTTTCTATTCACCAGTTCATGGGCATTTCAATTGTTTCCACATTTTCCTAGTACAAATATTTCTGCTGTAAATGGTCCTGTACAATTTTTGTTTGAACACCTGTTTTTTAGTTATTTTGACTATGTATCAGGAGTAAAATTGCACGGTAGCATGTTATTTCTTTCCTTTTTTTTTTTTTTTTTTTTTTTGAGACGGAGTCTTGCTCTGCCACTCCCAGGCTGGAGTGCAGTGACGAGACCTCATCTCACTGCAACCTCTGCCTCCCAAGTTCAAGGAACTTCCTGCCTCAGCCTCCTGATTAGCTGGGCTAATTTTTTGTATTTTTTAGTAGAGACGGGGTTTCACCATGTTGGTCAGGCTGATCTGGAACACCTGACCACAGGTGATCCATTCACCTTGGCCTCCCAAAGTGTTGGGATTACAGGTGTGAGCCACCATGCCTGGCCGTTATTTCTATGTTTAACTTAGAGAGGAACCACAAAATTGTTTGCCCAGTGGCTGCACCATTTATCATTACCAGCAACAATGCCGCATGTTCCTGTTTTCCAACATTCTCTCTAACATTTATTATTTTGCTATTTTAAAAAATAGTAAGTATCCTACTGGGTATCAATTGCTATCTCTCTGTGATTTTGATTTGCATTTCCCTGATGACTTATAGTGTTGACCATCTTCTCATGTGTAATTTGTGATTTGTATGTCTTCTTTACAGAAGAATCTATTCAGATTCTTTCATCATTATAAAATTGGTTTATTGTTTGTTTTATTATTTAGCCATAATTACTGTTTATTTCATTTTATTTTATTATTCTATTTTATTTTATTTTTTGAGATGGCATCTCGCCCTGTTGCCTAGGCTGGAGTGTGCATTGGTGCAATTTCGGCTCACTGCAACCTCTGCCTCCCGGGTTCAAGCAATCATCCCACCTCAGCCTCCTGAGTAGCTAAGATTACAGGCATGCACCACCACACCCGGCTAATTTTGTTTGTTTGTTTTTGTATTTTTAGTAAAGGTAGGGTTTCAGCATGTTGACCAAGCTGGTCTCAAACTCCTGACCTCAAGTGATCTGCCCGCCTTGGCCTCCCAAAGTGCTGGGATTACAACATAAGCCCCATGCCCAGCCTTATATATTTTAGATACAAGTCATTAATGAGACATATTGTATGCAAAAAATATTCTTGCTGTGGCTGTCTTTCAAATTTCTTTACTGTGTTCACTGAATCAAAAGTTTTTTTAAAAATTTTTAATTATGTCCAGTTTATCTATTTTTTCCTTTATTAACTTGTGCTTTTGGTGTAAGAACTAAAAATCCAATGCCTAATTCAAGGTCACAAAAATTTATTCTGTATTTCCTCCTAGGAGTTTTATAGTGTAACACTTATATTTGAGTCTTTGGCCTATTTTTGTATTTTGCATTTCTTTCTCTTTTTTTTTTTTTTTTTTTTTTTTTGCATGTGGATACCACGTTGTCCCAGGACGATGTGTTAAAAATAGTTATTTCCCCTTTTAATTGTCTTGTCTCCCTTGTTAGAAGTTAATTGGCTGCAAATTAACTTTTGTGAGGGCTTATGTCTGGACTTTGGATTCTATTTCATCGATCAATATTTATATCCTATGCCAGTACCACATAGACTTGTTTATTGTAGCTCTGTAATAAGTTTTAAAATTTGGTAATGTGACTCTTCAAACTTTGTATACTTCAAGATTGTTTTGGCTATTCTGGGTCCATTACATTTTCATATGAACTTTAGAATCAGGTTATAAATTTCTTCAAAGTAGACAACTTTATTTTTGATGAGGATTTCATTGAATATTTTGATTATTTTGAAGAGTGTCATCATCTTTATAATACTATGCCTTCTGATGCATAAAATGCCTTTCACCAGATGTCAGTTTAAAGAAGTCTGTGATTACTGTTTGTGATGTTCAGGCTGGCTCAAAAGTTTTAAAACTCTAATGTGTGATTAGTAATATTATACTATCTTTAAAATAATTGTCTATAATTTATTAAGTGTGCATAACATAACTCTAGAATATACGTAAATGTCACCATACCTCCATTTGTGATTTTTCAGATTCTTTAATTCTGACACTAGGGACTAATTTCAGAGGACTGTGTAAAATATTCAGGTTTCACAATCTCCCTAAATATTCATTTTATAATGTCAGCTTTAATTACTTATTTGAACAAATTGTATTATTATATTTTAATTTATAGGCCAAGTTTATCTGACATTTTCAGATATAATATATGCTTTTGAATCTGTTTATCTTTTATTACAATTCGGAGGTAGAAGTTTTATTTTTTATATCCCTGGTAATTATTATAGTCTATAAATTTTTTTCTATTACCCTCTAATTCCTGAAAAATTTATGAACTATATGAAATATTGAAAGCTGCTATCTAATGTTTTTCCAATTTACTTGTATTTTTTCACCATAATATTTATTACTGTTTTTAATTAGGATATTCTATTTGTTCAATACTAAGCATTTTAGAAGGAAAGTAGAAAATTATAAGAAAACAAGACCACTAACCATTTTAGTAAGAAAAAAATAGTTAAGATGTAAAATAATATGATGAGGATTAGCATAAAAAGATGTAGATTCCATGAAAAAATTGACAGCAAGGTAAAGAAAGTGTACTGGAAACTTAATTCTTTTCTTGGATTTGACCTTCCTCTCTTTTCTTGTATTTTTCACTGAAATAAATGAACAAATAGACATAAATAAATGAATAAATGTAGGAAGAAGGTCATATTTCAACACCAATTTTAGTAAAGCTTTATATATATGGAGTTCTTATAAAATATTTACTTAAATTTCACAATTTACTACATGTAGTCATATAGATCTAACACAGCACTTAGAGACAAACTTTATTGGGGCCTTAATGGATTTATAGGAATATAAAGTTATACAACAAGAACTGGATGTCACCAAAAGGTCGCACTGGTTGGCTGCTGCAGGACCATCTCACAGGCATTATTTGCTTTGGTAAGTTCACCATGATCCAGGCCATGGCCTTAAATCGCAGAGGTCTTACAACCCGATCTTGCCCATGTCTTATAATTCATCGAAATTCAGGAAGTGAAATCATGCTTGTTCATAAGACTGAAAGATACAGAAAGAGAACAAAAGTTTATTGACTTATAATGAGAAATTCCATGATCATACAGGTCAGATATGTCTGTTGAGCAGAAAACACCTCACTTTCCCTATTAAGCAGGTTAAAGAGAATGCAAAATTATTCGATGAGTGCTTAATAAATATTAAATCAAAGGCATACAATGCTGATAACCTGCATCTTGTTGGTATCTAATGTATTTGAATGCAAAATAATTTATGTGTTAGGTGGACTAGATGTTTCTATTATCCTAGGCATATTTCTCCCCCAAAAAGTACAGGGATGTCTACTGCTGTTACTCGTGTTTTATTAGGCTTCCAAAACTGATCAGTCAGGCTTATTGTTCCCTCATAGCCCCTTGACAAACTGCTATATTCCTTGGAAATCTTATATTTATTTATTTACACAAATAATACATGAATAAATACATGAATAAAATCTAACTGTATATAATTCAAACAACATAGACAGAATTCTTCTTACTGCTGAACTTTTACCATTCCTCAGTCTTTCTCCTATTTCCATAAGAAAACATAGGTATCACTTCTTTCTAGACCTTTTTATTTCTATTTAAATGTACACATACATAGTATTTATAATTATATAATAATTTAGATTTGGAGTTTATAATATAAATTAGATCATCCTAGCATGCACTTCTGCAATTTGTTTTTATTTTTATAAATGTCTTAATAATTTTTAATATAAAAATAGATCAGTCTCAATATTTCAATGGTTTCAAAATATTGCATTGTACTACAGTATAATTTTAAAATCATTCTGTTGATAGACATTTAATATGATTGCAACATTTTTATTACAAACAATAAAGCCAATTTGTTCATCTGTAGAATTATTTCCATATATTCTACAAATAAAACACAAGTCAAAACTTACAAACATTAAAATTATGATACAGATAAAATACTTTAGAAATGTATAATTTTATAGAGTATAGATATTTAACCAAATCCTTTCTAAAACTGAGAATTCTGGAGACTTTCGATTGTGGCAAATATGATGACCTAATATTAGAGTCAACTATATTCATTATTATTATTGGCCATATATTTTTTGTCTTCTATGAATTGCCTGTTCTTTGACTATATTTCTATCAGGCTTTGTTTCTGTATTAACATAAAAAAGTGTATTATATATTCTAGGAATTAATGACATCCATTAACTATCTTTTAAATGGAACCATACTGTATATAAATAGTCTTTAAGTTTACTTATGATGTTTTTCTTCATATAAAGTTTGTATGTTTTATAAAAGAAAATTGTATTTAGAAATATAATACAAAGGCATTAAAATGAGGAAAACAATATAAAATGTATCTGTGGAAGTTAAAAGATGTTAAAAGTATGGAATAAATGCCTAATAATTTTTTCCATAACCAATCAAAGACATATATACTTACCAACATGTAACTCTTTCTGTGTGTTGTTACACAAAATAAATTTGTATTATACACATTACTCCAGACATGTTTTATTTAATTAATAATATCTCATAGTAACCACATAAACTTAAATATTTTTTAAATATCTGCACAAAATTCCACCAGATGGGTCCACCAAAACATAGTATTTCTCAAAATGAACAGAACTGAGACAGTTTCCAATTGTTTTCACAACTATGCAAATATATTCTCAGCTGGTATAATAAAAAAGTTAAACAGTTTGTGGATTACTATTTCAAATGTTGTAGTAAACAATTTTTCAAACACCAATCATAACAGGAGCGTGTTGTCATACTTTAAATTTCTACAAAAGATAAAGAAAATGTGGCATATGTTTGATTTATTGTACCTTAATAGAATTATAAAAGTGGACAATTTTTTAAGAATTTAGTAATCCAAAATTTCTTAGTCATGATTATCTCCTCATTTTGATGCAGAAAAATAAAATTTCATTTAAATGAATCTCTATAAAGGGTCATTGTATATGAATGATTTTAATAATCTTTGCAACATAGGTTTAAATCTCTTTACCAGATGCTATACTGTGTTTTGGTTTAAAATTAAGTGTTTTTAGCATTTTTATTAAAATATTTTCATTATCAAAGCATAATTTATTGATGATTTTCAAACTTTCCTGATTTCTCAGAAAGATCTATTTAAGCCAAGTCATATAATCTATAAAATCATGAATTTATATTAAAATGAGTTGATTTATCACTACTTTAAGAATAAATTTCTCAATGTAGTAAAAATTGTGTATAAGATAAGACAGAAATATAAAAAGTATTATAGAATGAGGTAAAGGTTAAATATATATTACAAAAATATATTCTCTATTAGCTATTAATGACACATAAAATATGACATTTCTTACTATCACATTTGATCAAATTAAAAAAAAAAGAAATACCCCAAAATATGATCAAGAGTCTAAGGTGAACAGCAAAAGAAAAGATGTGGTTCGCCGCTTGCAGTGGTTCACGCCTGCAATCCCAGCACTTTGGGAGGCCGAGGTGAGCAGATCACGAGGTGAAGAGATGGAGGCCATCCTGGCCAACATGGTGAAGCCCCATCTCTACTAAAAGTACAAAAAAATCAGCTGGACATGGTGGCATGCACCTGTAGTCCCAGCTACTCAGGAGCCTGACGCAGGAGAATCGGTTGAACCTGGGAGGTAGAGGTTGCAGTGAGTCGAGGTCACACCACTGCACTCCAGCCTGGGCAATAGAGTGAGACTCCTTCTCAAAACAATAATAATAATAATAATAATAATGTGGTTCATAACTTGGGTCACTTAAACAATAAGCAAAAGAAAATTAAAACATACAATGCAAAAGAGAAATGATTTTTCCAAAATAACAACTTAATAATCCCTCATTGATACATAATCAACTTTAATAAAACTAAGTTCCTTAAATGTACTGAAAAGCCATGAAAAAAAAGTTAGAGTAAAATAAATGGAGAAAAATATTTCATATAACACTCAATAAAGCCATTCAGTAACCACTAAAAACAACTCAATAAAAAAAGACTCAAAAACCATGAAATTAAAAGAAGATAAAATATCACTATGAATCCACCACTGGGAAGAAAAATTCATCACCTAAAATGACTACCTTTGGTCCAGAAAAAATGATAGAAAGAAAATACAAAAATCAATTACAATCTGAAAGTACTAAATAAAAAAGTAAAAGAAGAAATTGAAAAACACGAAAGAAAAAAAACTGAAACTGATACCAATTATGTTAAGATCAATGTAAAGCAGTGAACATAAAAAAAGAAAAACAAAAAAGAAAGACAAAAGAATCAGACTGAGAAGAAGCAATGACAATGAACAGGAGTGGCAAAGAGACACCAGTGACATCCCCACAAGAAAACACACAACCAAGAAGCTTTGTGACAATGGGATCCTTTCTGAGTGTAAGTTTTTAAGCAGTTTGACCAAGGAAGCTCCAGTTTCACACCCACTGCTGGGGCCTATCTGATAACAGACTTCCTGCATTCATTCTCAAAGGAAGGCCCAAGTTACCCCATCAATGGCATGATGACCCAGTCTTGGAGACAGAAAAGCATGCCCATCGCAAGTGGTGATTCAGAGCCTGTATGGGAGAGTTTGTGGGCAGTCTTATGCCAGTGGTGGTATGTTTACGTGCATGTCTGTGTGGGGGAACACTTGGGCCCACACCCTTGTGCCCCGTGTGAGGTTTCTTGTGTCTCTGCTTGTGTGTTTGTGGTTACGTTTCGGGGTGTGGAGTCCCTTCAGAGTGCGTGTGTGTGTGTCTCTGTCTGTGGTCTGTGGGCGTCTGCCTGTATGAGTGAGAGTGGGCAAATGGGCACGTGGCAGAGACAGCCTGCCTGTACACACTGAAATGTGAATCGTTGTTGTGTTCACATGGCTGGACTGGAAAGAAAGGCAACAGGATACAACTTGCCAAGGCTCCCACTGGCTCAGGATTGGACATTTACAGAGTCCACAAGGAGAATGGGGACAAACAACGAGCCAAGAGGTACTGGAAAATTCATGAATTCACGATGATATTGAACTTAAAAGTAACACCTGGGTGGCTCTCTCTCTCTTTTTTTTTTTTTTTTTTTAATACTTTAAGTTCTAGGGTACATGTGCATAACGTGTAGATTTGTTACATATGTATACATGTGCCATGTTGGTGTGCTGCACCCGTTAACTCGTCATTTACATTAGGTATATCTCCTAATGCTATCCCTCCCCCCTACCCCTACCCCACAACAGGCCTCGGTGTGTGATGTTCCCCACCCTGTGTCCAACTGTTCTCATTGTTCACCAGAGAAACTGAACTGGTGACTTTCATCTCTGCTCCTTTAAGAATGAAAGGGAAGCCTCCCTCCAGTCCTGGTGCTGCAAGGGGACACACCCATCACCAATGAGCAGAAGAAGCAGCAGTCTGGATAGAACATTTGTCCCGCAGAGAGCTGAAAGTGAAAGGAAAAAGGAAGAAGAAGAACAAAGAAATAGAAGGAGAAAAAGAACAAGTGGCAGCTTCATGCCACCACAGCTGTCCTGAAGGATCTAGTTCAGGGGTGTATCACTGCATGATGACATACACAACAAGTGGCAAAGAAACACGAGTGACATCCAGGTGAAAAGACACACCACTGAAAAGCTTCTCATCGATGGGGTCCTTTCTGAGTGGGATCAAGGGCTCTGATCCACAAGTAGGCCTGCAGGAGCAAAAGAGAACAAAGGTGCAGGCAAAATCTTGCCCTTTGAATGTCATCAGCACACTTCAAGTGGCCACCAAGTCCCTAGTACACAAGGCCAAGGTAGGGAAGGACCCTGGAAATGGGAGGGGAGATGAAAAGGGGGAGAAACCAGACCCCCCAAAAAAGAGGTAATCAGCCACCTATGGCAAATAGGGAGAGAGGGCAGAAAGAGGAGGGAGATTCTGATTATGCACTTCAGGGGTTAGACAGGGTCCATCTAATTTTCTTAGGAAAAGTAAGCATGTTCTCCCTGGTGATGTGTCCGTGCCCATTCAACCCTCCCC